AACCCCACACCAAAAATAGTGCCGACATCTACTTTGTATGATCCTTTGATTTTTTCTTGATTATGTGATTCTTCAACTAGTGGAGGTGGAGGTATCTCTTCTCGGGTCATTATCTGCTTTACTTTATCTTTTGGAACTGTTCTTGGTGGTAACACTTTTTCGCTCCTTAAGTTAACTTCTGTGATTTCTTCTTCTTGAGTTATCATTTTATCATTGTTGATCATTGTTGAATCTTCTGGTATATCCTCTTTTTCAGAAAGATCTATGTTGATGGTAAGCGGTGTACCGTGATGCTCGAGAATTGACTCCTCATTATTGGTGCGGCTGTAAACGGTATCATTGATGTCTTCTTTGGACTTAACAACGAGTGCATTAGACTCGGGTACGATTTGAGGATCATTTTGGAGATCAAGACCAAAGTTAGATTGGTCATAATCAGTTACGTTATCACCAGAAACAGTTAAAACATAGCCGAAATTACAATCATTATATTCATAAGACCTCGGAGAGACAAAAAGATAATCATACAAAGTCAAGGGTTTGAGGATTTTCTTCCCCAAATCCGAGACAACCAACTAGTAGAGGAAGCCCCTATCCTACCCCCCTGTGCTATCAAACTTTGTAGTGATTCTTTTCTTCTTCTTCTTTGTCCTTGACGATGATGGCTCTCCTGACGAAACCTTCATCTCGGGCTTGGTATGTTGCAGACTCTGAATGGAGGTTTGTTTTGATGCAGACCGGATCTTGTTTTGTATTTTCTTGGATCATCTGGACCAGACCTCATTCCATTCTTCATCTCTGGTATATGCAAAAGATTTTTTTGATGGATCCTATATTTGATTGAGGACCTTCTTGAGTTCATCCCAAGTTGTACTCCATCCATCTGTTCCAGTATACAGATCAATTAGGGAGATTGGCAACGAAATCATATTTATGGATCCTTTTTCAGGTTATTTTAAATATTCTTTCAGGATTTGTTATGTTCTCTTCTTTAAGGTTTCTCTCAAGCCAGACTTTAAAGATGAAGTATTTTTCTATAGTGTGCCCAAGCAACCGGTGGTATAGGCAATATATTGGTTCATTCTTCCTATCCACCTCTTCGGGCTTCTATGGATCTGGTAGTTTGAATTCCGGCTTCTTCATTAGACTTCTGAATATTTTAGGTATAGCTTCAACTTTGAAGGAATACATAATTTTACGTTGCTCTAAAAGGGACATTTTCTTATCCCATGTTCATGGTGATCCTTCTTGAGGCAGTCGCTGGTTGGATTGACTACTCTGTTTCTGAGTGTACTGTGACGAAAACTAGCGAGGCTCTTCTGCATATATCTTTATCGGCTATTTTCCTTTGTCGATGGTCACTACTACTCCTGATTTCTTTTCGAACACTCTGGTCACCTTAGCCTTTTCATGTGGCTCCATGTGCTTGATTTCCTCTTGAACACTGTGGCTTTACTGAGTAGCTTCTTGAAAGATTTGATGGTGAGTCCCTTGAGCATGAAAGCTACCGGCCCACAAAAGCTCTTGAGTAGAATTTCAATCGCATGATGTTCCTGTAGCTGAGGTTGACATTTCATGCTAAGGTTTCTCCACCTCAAAATATAGTCCAGCAAATTTTCGCTAGGCTTTTGTTTTTCCATCATGAGCTCTCCAATAGACACATGGTGTTGTGCCCCGACAAATCTTTTCTCAAATAGCTGTTCCAATTCCAAAAATATTTTAACTAACCCATTGCGCAAGTCAGCGTACCAGTCAAAGGAAATTCCTGACAGGCTGCTGATGAACTGCTGGAATAGTAGAGCTTCACTATTTCTCGTGTTGCTTTCTCGTGTTGCTACAGCTCTATTTCTCGTGTTGCTACAGCTGGCTTGGAAATGTGCTATATGTTGTCTGGGATTCCCAGTTCGATCAAATATCTTGATGTTTAGGGCCACAAAACCTGAGGAAAAGGCACGGAATTGAATTCCCTTGGGTAAGGTCTACCCTTTAGAACCAATGCACCACCCTTAGATTGGGTTAAGGCATCCCGCACTTGTTCAACCATTTGCTTTAATTCTTTTTTTGGTATAGCACCTGATGGAGAATCCTTTCTATGTTGCTCGTATCTCTTTATTGAAGCAACCTCTCTTCTTTCATCTGTGATGTGTATGATTTTCGGCTAATTGATCTCTGGAGAAGCCAAATTGATCTCTGGAGAAGCCTGGAGAAGCCAATTACGGTGCTTGTGATTGCCCCTGAATGGTGGCCATAGCGGTCATGATTGCGGTCATTTCTTCTATTCTTTTCTCCAGTTGACTAACTTGCTCATCCCTTAGGAGGATAGCCCTACGCAGTTCATCTACGACGTTCTCTTCGTTCTCTTCGGACGACGTTCTCTTCGGTGTGAAGTTGAGCCCTGTGCGTAGATGTGGTTGCTCTGGTTTCAATTACATGGAGATCCATAAAATCTTCTTCCAAGTAATCATTATAATCAAAATTTTCATCATCGCTATTGGCAAAAACTTCGTGCTCTCGGGCTAACTCGGAAATGTCAATCCTGAGTTTTTCAACTTTCTCTTCAATTATTGATTCCTTCATCCCTTTAAGATTTGGAGGACCCTGATGGACAACCTCTACTTGCTCCTCCATCTCGCTAGTTATTGTTGAGACGATGTCAGATACTTCAGATCCTAGTTTCATTTACTGTTTTTGTCCTGCGGGCTCACTGGACTGTATCGGTGCAACGACCTTAAGTACCCATACCTTTTTCTTTTTCGACGATGATGCCTCAGGACGGATCACGATGGAGTGTCTTAGTAGAAACATCAGTATGTCAAGCAAAATTACGCTCCCCGTGGAGTAGACTGGCTACAGTGTCAGGTAATTGTCTTGTCTTTGCCTTTGGGATTGTATAAATGTCTTTATAATGGGTGACGGGTAAGATTTTTGGACCCCGTCTCGACTTAACCGGTTGACGGTCTGCGGTCCTGGTGGTAGTATAATTAGTACTAATCACTGCGGTATCAACTCTGTTCCCTAAATGGCACCAAACGGGGATGCGAGTAGGTGGCACTACAGTTGTCTTGTGAGACTGTTTGGCGGACTTGACATCCTTCAAAATTTCCTTCTTCATGCTAGGGGAAATTACATCTCGTACTCGTTTAAGTAACTTGCTAACTGAATATCCTTCTTTGGTAGCTAGCTTTCTAAAAACTGCACTAACTCGGGTGATAGGAGTGAATTTCTTTCCTTCCTCACCATGTCCATGAAGTGGTAATAATGCGGTGATGATTTTTCGG